TCACACTTTGTTAACACGGTATGCTTGCTTGTCATATTCCATATGCATGCTTGACAAAACAATACCCTGCTTGTCATTTCCCACGCTATCATGTTTGTTATTAAAACATCATGCTTGTAATTTTCCACACTCATGCTTGTTAAGGTATTATGGTTACTTATTATTTTCTATGTATATGCTTGTTAAAACAATATACTCACTTGTCATTTTTCATATGCATGCTTATAAAAAAAAATTATTTATACCAGTTGAAATTCATAAGGGTCATCTTCTTTTTCTCATTCAATCTTATTTTCAGATGTGGTACATCAGGGATTTTAGAGAGAATTCAGAATACTTGGATCGTTTTTCATAATTAATGTGTTCCAGTAATTCTTCAATATGATTTTCCCTTTTAATATAATTGTCCTTTATTATCCATAAGATTCGAACTGTTGGCCTCAATGAGAATCGAGTTCCTTATTCTCCATCGTCCACTATACTGTTCCTTCTACTCAAAGTATTTGAGGAAGGGTAATTTTGAAAGACTGTCATGTTTTTTTTTTTTTGAAAAATTAAGATTTTTAATTAAGATTTACAAGGACAATATGTCTAACTATAAAAGAATACTTAAGAATGGAAGATGCCACCTACCCCGTAGAGTGACAAATGTATTAGGTTGAACTCTTCAAATAGTCCTAAAAAATGCGAGCAGTTCATCGCGTGACAAAAAAAGAGTCATCATTGTGTGTATACATGCATGTATGTTATGATAGTATAATTTTTTAGAGAAGATTTTTTTTTAAAAAAAAATAGATTAGATTTCGTTTAATAATTAACAATAAAAAGTATAATAAAGACATAGAGAAAGAATGTGCATTCTAAGTTCTAAAGACTATAAGTGGAAATATTAAGAAATACAATAGATTATGAAAATATAAAATTACAGCGGAAGGATTTAAAACAGTGGTAGCTCGTTGGTTATTGAAGAGCCAAGGCCTAAAAATAGTATGAAAAGTCACAGCACCATATAGTGAAGGATCCTCAACAATTCTAATTAAAAGTATGATTTAATATCGATTTAAGTAAAAAAGTTAAAACAATCACTTTAAATCAAAACCATTGAGAATTTTAATCAAGGATAATGAAAGGAAAATGAGGAAGAGGTTCCTCTCCCATGCATAGAGATGTGGCTTTGCAAAGAAACTAAACTTTACTTCAAACATGAAGGTGGAACGCATGGGCCATATATGCTCATACATGAATGCTTATAGTTTTGCTGTCATCATGGATTCAGGAAGGTTAATTAATCTGTATACAAGTTTTATGGGGGCTATATCCATGGAATCATGCATGAACATCTATGACAGTAAGCACTCAATTTTCAACTCGTACACTGTGCGAGATATCAAAAATCTTTTAATGAGAAATTGAATGGCTACAGATGAGCACATGTACAGAGAAGCCAATAGTACATTATGCACATTTATCGCAAAGTAGCATCAACTTAAAGTCTACAATTTTGAAGGAGTTCCCTCAAGATTGTAGAAACTCTGTTTGGATATTATTAGTCCTCTTTAAGGCATTTTTTTCTCTCCTCTTTGTTTCTGTTGTGTTATCCACACTTCAGGCCCAAACATGAGCCTGTTTATAGAATGGGGCACAATTATAATATTGAAAAAAACTTGGGTCCCAATGTGTAATATGTTTGGATTTTTGTGCAATGTTCTCCCACCTATTTGAATCAGAGTGTGTTAAATCGTTGATAACTCTGCATTAAATTGCTTCCTTCTGTTTTCTTTGTGTGCATTTGTTATGCATTCATAACCGAAGTTTGTGCATGTAATAACACTTTTTTCCCTTAACTATTTTTTAAAGAACACTGTGCTTCCTAAATCATTTATTAGAATAATATTGTTTGTCAAGTGTGAAAATTGTTATTATGTCTTTTTTTATCACTTACATGTGTTCTCTTATTAAAAACAATACTTTTCAAGATATGATTGAACATTAAATATATACCTATCCTTCATTTGACTAACGAGCACTAATATTGATCATTAAAATGAATTAAAAAAAAAAAAGAGTAGTCGATGTACGAGACTTCAAAAAGTATGAAAAAGGCAGTGATTCTTTTTTGGGTACAGAATGAGGCTGCAGCCCAAACTAAACTAGAACAAATACAAAACGATGGTCTAGTGACTAGTCTAATAACATGTAAACTTCTTCGTGAGTGGGAGGTCACGCATTTGACCCTACTTGTAATCTTAAATCATTAGTGCCTGTCTCTCTAATTAAAAAAAATAGAACAAAAAATAAATTGAAAACAAAACCATAACAACTACTGCCTCTAATATATGAGACTCGATCCAAAGTATGGATTGTACCAGTGAGAATTTTTTAACGGTTGTTTCATGGATGTAAAAGCGCTCCTTGCAATATTAAAAAAAAAAATGTTATTTCCCACCGTACGTCTTCTGCCATAACACTGAAAAAAAATAGATTTTTGACAGCAACAAAAAAATTGCTACCAAAAGTTTAAAAGTCACATCTAAAAGTTTTTGCTGCTATAACAATCATCCTTAAAGTTTTTTTTGATGACGATAAATATTATCACCACCAAAAATATTTTGACACCAAAAAGATTTAGTGGTGACATTTATTGCACTAAAACTTTTTTTAAAAAAATAATTTATTTTGTGTCATATTATTCCGCTACATGTACATCATGTGATGCCATATCACTTGCCCTCTTGTGACACATTACCCTGTCACCTCATACGATGTGTGCACCTTTTCAAGCCACCTCGTGTGCCATGCTACCCGTCACATGTGCGCCTCCTCAAATCACCTCTTAAAGCCACCATCATGCACCATGCCACTATCATGCAGCACGTCACATATTTGTTGCAAAATATGTCAAAGTCAAGATTTGAACCTTTAACCTCTTATTTCTAAGCCTTAAGTCTCCTTTCGTTATCAGTTGAATTAAAATGCATTTACAATTATTATGTGCAAAATTAAATAATGTCATTTAACTGCATATACATATATCAAATAATATATTATTAAAAATATATACTTATACTACATTTTTTTAATTATTAATACAACAAAATAATTTATATGAATATTTAAATTATATTTTTAATAAAATATTATTTTTATCAATAAATATTATTTTTGTTAGGAAAATGAACTTAAAATAAACATTTTTTAAATATTAAATAATATTCTTATAAACATCATAACCAAATTTTAAATTTTTTTAAATGAAAATTAGTAAGTATATAATTTATTTATAGATATGCATTATATTAGTTTATGTTAAATATCTTTTACTTTTTTCTTCTCCATAGTTTTCTCAAAAATTGATAAAATAAATGATTAAATTTTTATCTTCTCTCAAAATAGAAAAATATTTCCCCTTCTATTAAAAATATATTTTATTTACAATTTTTCAATATCTTAGAAGAATATTTTAATAACAAATTAATTTCAACCGTACAAATTTTGGTAATAGTCATTTTGAATAATTTTAAACTTTTAATGAATATATACTAATAACTTTTATAGTATAAGATAATTACAAGAATCTCATATATATATAATCAATCTAGCTAACATTTAGCCATTATCTACCTCATAGCAAGGTGGATTTGAATAATTATTCCTATTATTCATAGTAATAATTAGTTATAAAAATATTAGTAACTTCTTTTTTTTTATAACAATGAAAGCCTAAATATGCTAGACAGAATCACATGAAATTCTTGTCCAAAAATCATTAGAGCTCAATAAAAAATGTAGACACCATGTGTATACTAAGCTAAGCATTAAGTGCACAATATGTTAAGTAGTCTATAATATAATTTGTATCACATGATATTTGTACAACTTTAACGGTGCAATGCCATTTATGTATTTATATGTAAGTAATAGTTTATGTATAACTTAACTTAATTATAATTGAAAGTAATAACCTATCAAGATTTTAATTTATCATATTAAAATACTAACTTAATAACATACTTCTTAAAAAATGAGCTATATATGTCTAAAAAAAGATTATGAATAATAAAAAATTAAAAATAATTAAATTTGGCTCATCTTCATTATTATTTTTTAATTTTGTATATAAAATAAGAATTTAATTTCATAAGTATTTTTGAATGATTTCATTTAATTTTAAAATTTTAAAATAATTCAAAATAAATTTTTTAATAATTTAAATCATAACTTTATAAATTATTTCATATAATTTAAAATTATATTTCATTTTTTAAAAATACTTTTACTGAAGACAAATGTTATTACCAAAAGTAATTATATAAATTATTTTTTATAAAAATACTTTTGACAGTGACTTTACCATACTTTTGGTGGCACAAGGCATTTAATTTTTGTTGCCAAAGATATTTAATTATCATCACCAAAAGTATAGTTTTGGTGAATTTTTATTGACGACAAATTAAAGTTACCGTCAAAAATTATTTTTTTTATAGTGTAAATAGGCTAAGGACTTTAATGTTCTTTTTTTCTGATATCATTTGTGATGTCCCAATTCTTCAATTTTATTTTTTTATTATTAAATTTTAGATAAAATAAAAAATATTTTGATATATTGGAGTTTCATAACAGTAAATTTTTTTATTTTAGTATGATATTTTAAAAAATAAAAGGGTGTAATTGTGATATTTGTTAAGGAAATCATAAAAAATAACAAACTTTATTGTTTCAGACTTCAAGATATTGAAATGTCTCATGTAAAAACTAATGATACAAAGAAAATTGAAAAATAAAATTGAAAAATCGAGACATTGTAAAGGATACTAGAGAAAGACAGATTAGAGATCTCTAGCTTGCTGTGAAACTACTCCGCATGAAATCCGAAATTGATCCTAGGGAACGAGTACGATATATTCTGTGTGATAGATATAGCGTTTGTAAAGCCAGTTCGCATACGTGAAGAAATTAAACAAGTCGCCCGCCATCTGATTGGTGGAGGCCAAGTAGCTAGCTAGACAAGCTTGCACCACGAGGGCACGCTATTATTGAAGTGAAGGGACACACGACAAAGACATACGTACATTACATAAAACACAACACACCAACAAAAGCCAAATACATATTCAGATTTTAGTATACATTACATAAAACACAACACACCAACAAAAGCCGAATACATATTGAGATTTCAGAAATTTAGCATGGTCTCACAGTAGAGAGAGCGCAGTCAAACTCAAGAATCCTGATCTGATGCCATCTTGATTAGCTGGGCGCGGGAGCATAAGTTCACGCTGGCATAGAGATGATATGGCCATTCATCAAGAGCTAGCCACTGGTTCACCACGAAAGCTACCTTGGGCCCAGTGGAAGTGACTTCCACGTAATCCAAGTACCATCCTGGCTTGTTTCCTTCGCCATTGGACGTGACGGTGATGGCGCAAACGCCGAGGCAAGGACCCGTGCCGCTGAACACATCGAGGTTGCCTCGCTCAAAGTAATCATGACCAGGTCCCATGATGCCCCAATCTCGGAGGTTGTTGACGGTAAAGCTATTGCTAGGAGATGATAACCTGAGGCTGATCATGGAGTCCGTTCCTGCATCTTTGCGATCTCCTGTCTTCACTCTCACAATGTACCTGCACTGATGGTTTTACATATATGCATGCATGAAGTCCCATTTCGACGAATATTAAGAATTAAAAAACACACATATGCGCACAACTATTGGAGAACTAATGATGGATCATTAGTACAAATGGTGAAACTATGTAGAATAGAAGCTTACGTACAATTGGTGAAACTAATGATGGATCATGAGAAGAGAGAGTAATTACTCACATCAGATTTAGCGATTGCAACAAAGCTGATGAGCAGTGAGAGTAGAAAAAGAAAAGAAGACGATGCAACTCTGAGAGCCATTTGTTTAGTTTGTGATTGTACTGATGGGGGTGAGGAGCTGAAACAACTTATATCCCTTTTTATAGAGCTATACATTTGGTAAAAACTTGAGTTTCACTCTTGATCCATCCCCAACATGATTTCTTACGTATTCCCTTAGATTGATCAAATTCATTGTATACACAAGAAGTTTGTTTTATATATTTGGTATGTGATGCCTGATGTAGACACGCAGAAGATGTACGTTAACTGTCTCTAGTTGACAAGTCGCTAATAGAAATTATATTATCATTTTGATCAAAAAAAATTATGAATAACGAAAGCTTGTAGTTATCTAATCAAATGTTTTGGACTGGGGTGTTTAATGACTTCACATCCAAAGTCACGTGTAGATTTGGAGTGCCTGGCAGCTCTGAAAGATAATAAAAATTATTGACCAATAATAATAAAATCATAATAACCATAAAATAAAGTACAAATTGTAATAAATAACAAAGAAGAAAAACCTAAGAAGGCAGTTCATCTCTGATTTCAATTATAACAAATTAAAGCCAGTTCATCACTGGTGTCATTTATAACAATATACTCCCTCTAGTCATATTATAAAGTAGAGAAAGAAGAATTTTTTTTATTCAATTTATAAGTTTAGTAGTTAAATTTTTATCATAATTTTTTCTTTTTTGTCTCTATTAAATACTGGTGAGAAAAAATATATTATTAAATGATGTATATCTAACAACTATAAAATTTAAGAAAAAATGGGACTATGCCAGTTGGAAATGGGACTATGCTAGTCGGAAAGAGCATTCCACACATAATCTTCGATGCGGAGTCATCAAACACAAGAGTCCAAAACATTTAATTAACTAGCACGAGCTTTCGTTGGAAATAGTGCTCTTTCATCAATTTTTTAGTCAATTAATTAATAATACCTATATTTATAAGATACAAGTAGACAACCAAGTGGAAGGAAAGTCGGTTCTTTTATTTTTTTTTATTATAATAAGAGGCAAATTTTTCTAAAAAAAGTTAAATAAATAACAATCATCAACTTATATATGTATGAATTCATTGACAAGATCACATTCATTAATTTTAAAGTCAACAGTTTGAATCTTATGGATGTATATCCATTAGTTACATTAATTAGGTACCAACTGATACGGATAAGTAGATGGAAAGATGAAAGCCAAATTGGGATGTCAAAACTCAAAACATTTCGTTCTCTGATTACGTGGTAGCCTGGTCTTATTCATTTTCAACACTTGCCCTTCACATCTCCCTTACCTTACTTGGCAATCTATTACCTTTTTTATTGTTTATCTTATCATACCTTTTTAGGCAGCCTTTCATTGATAGATAATTTACACAATTGGGAGATCCCATCATAAGTTTTAGCCTTCCCTCATGTTCAGAAAATATTGGCACATGCTTTAAACTTTGGTCAATTGCGGTCTTACAAGTTCGGAAGATTTTTAGAATTTAAAGTTACCGTTGCTTCTCTCTTCCCAATTTTATTTCTGCAATTCTAAATAGGAAAAATGACATTGAAATCCCATCAAAATATATAAATGACAATCAAATCCCTTTGAAATGTCATAATTCCTCTCATATCCCTAGGTATCTTTTTGACATTAATAATTTTAGGTTAAATGACTAAATTGCCCCTTGTTTAAAAATTTTCACATTGGCAGTTGTGATTTCTTATTTAATATTTGTGATTTATAGAATAAAAACTAAAATTTGTGATTGCTTAAAAAAAATTGTGACTAGTTATTTTCAGAATTTAGACTTCAATGATAAAGAAATTATATGTGGAAAGTTGCTATTCTTAGAATAAAATTTGTGATTACTTAAACACAAGTTGTGATTAGTTATTTTCAAAACTTAAATTTCAATGATAAAAGAATTTTATGTGAAAAGTTGTGATTTTTTGTTTAATATTTATAATTCATAGACTAAAAATTGTAACTTGTTATTTTCAAAATTTGGACTTCAATGATAAAAACAAATTCATATGGAAAGTTGTGATTTCTTGTTTAATTTTTTTAATTCACAAAATAAAAGTTGTAATTGTTTAGACAAAATTTGTAATTGAGACTAGTTATTTTCAAAAAGAGACAATTTAGTCCTTTAACCTAAAATCATAATGTCAGAAAGGTACTCAAGGATTTGAGAGGAATTATAATATTTTGAGAGATCTAATTATCATTTATATATTTTGGTGTTAAAGAAATTAGTTATTTAACCTAAAATATGTGTTTGTTATCATAATATATATCTTTTTTAATCTACATTGGAGTATGATAAGTGATAAACATAGCTTATACATCATTTACAAATCTAACTATAGAAAATAAAAGAACACAAATTTCCTAATGACCTTCTATATCTAGGAGCAAAGGGAGTAATTACTTTTATTATTTTTCGTCTGTGTAGAATCATAATAAAGTCAATTTTTGTCTTAAAAAATAATGACAGAAATTTTATAAGTTTTATAAATAATTGTAAAAGATAAAATTTCCAATTTTAATTATTACTTTTTTTTAAATGAAGCTATAATAATTTTCCAGTATAATTGTTTAAAAGATAATAATAATTTTTTAATAACATCAAAAGAAACATTAAATTTTTTTAATAATTTTGTTTTAGAAAAGAATCTAAAATTAATAATAGTGATTTCAAGTTGTCAACGCCTCCTCTTCCTTTTTCCAGCAGCATATTCGATCTTATCCTTCAAGGTTTAAAATGAATATTTTTATCTTATTTTGGCATTAAGAACACATACTACTCTCATTTTATTTATAAGTCATTTCAAGTATGTTTTATCATAATTAAAAAAATCTTAAAATTCATTAACTCTATCTAAAAATTTAAAAAATTTTAACTTTATCCCTATTAAATATACATGCTTTAACAATATATATTTTTTTAATATTCAATGGAGAGCAAAAAAAAAAGTAATTTGCAATGAAAGTTTAATTTACTTATAAATATGAACAAACATATTAGCACTAGGACTCAAAACTCTTCCAACTGAGCCAAGTGAGAGAGCTAACATTGTTGTTAGGATAACTAATTGTTGACCGAACATATTAATAATTAACGAGAGGTGAAGGTGAAGGAAAGTGGTTTTCTTTTTTCTTTTGGGTAAGCATGTCAATTTATTACTTTAAAACTAAGAGTACGGAGGTAAGTTCCAAAATAATAACATAAACTAAAAGCAATAGCATCATTGGAAATTAACATGGAAAGAAACATTATTAGAGGATTTAAGGAGAACCAAGCCAAGAGATCTTCACAGAGAACATTCGAGAGGAACCGTCTGATGATCCAGAACTCCGAGCCGTGAAGGTCATCTTATACTAAGTTCGCCATTTTACCGTGTCTCCATGGACGAGTTGTGAAGCACTTGCGGCAGCCAAAGAAGACTGTTCCTAAGAGCCGCTCTTGTGATTTGACTTGCCGAGACATTATATTATTCTTATCCACTAGCCATCTAATATTGAAGAAACGTGGCTGTTTGTTTGGTTGACTTGTGTGTTCCAGAAAAAAGAAACCGCTTAAGGTGGTTTATCCGAGCAGCCTCTGTTTTTCCTACCACCTAACCTGGCAAGTAGCAATCTAATATTGGTGCCCCTGCTGGACGAGGGGACGTATTAGGTTTTTTGGTCTTTGCTTGCTTCACCTGCGAAGCTGGGAAGGTTCATCATCATTCACAAGCCAATCATACGTATCACATGCATGCATCCTGATCACAAAGATCAAAGAATCATTGTGCCATGTGACACATGGGCCTGACATATCACAAAAGGATAGTTGGGCTACTACCAATGATGGGTTGATGATAGAGGACGCCAATGATTCTCCTCCTGTGGAGAATGAGAGCCCTTTGGTGCTGCGGAAGACGTATCTCTACGAGGGGGCAATTGCCCTCACTAGAAAAATAAAAATTTTATCTTAGTTAAAATTACACTTGCTCGCCTTTAAAATTATTGTTGCCCCCCATAAAAAATTAATTGCTCCACACTCTCTTTAAAATTATCAAGCATACGTATTTAAAAATATTTTTTGCTCATATTTATTATAAAAATAAATTTATGATGCAAATGACAAATATATATTTTTAAAATTATCATAAATTTTATTTATATATTATTTTTATTAATATTTAGAATTATATTTTCTTCAAAATAATTAATATTTATATTTAGTATAAAATTTGCCCCCTCTAATAAATTTTTCTCGATCCGTCACTGGTGCTGCGATGTAGTACCGTTCCGGGAAGATCATGTGGAAATTGAGGGAAGCTAAGGAGTAGGATGTTATGTAAGGGGCTGGAGTGCCTGTGAGAAGGTGTGGATGATGTGATTTGTTTCTCCCTTCTCTGAATTCTCTCTCATCTCTCTCTAGTGTTTTCTTGCTATTTTCGCTCTGTATTGCTTTATTCTTGTATCGTGAACTGCATAAATAATACCTGGAACGTGTTGAATCTCTTCATATTTGCACTTTCTTGTTTAAGTTGTGACAAAGGTGTTTTCGTTGAGAGGTGTTGATATATCATGGCTGAAAATACTCGTTTGCGTGAGTTGCAGAATGACATGCAAAGTTTTAGCGAGGATATGCAGAGCTTGCGTGAGTGTGTTGAACGGATAGAGAATGCTAGTCAAACTCGTCTGGAGCGCTTGGAGACCGCATTGGGTGACCTTATACGTCATCCTAACTTGACGAGCAACCTGATCGAGTTCACTATGGAAGCACTCAGTAGAGTACCAAACCCCCAAATGGATAAAATGGAAAGCAGCATGGAGGCTTTGATGCATATGATGGACAACATTGATAAGGGACAGTTGTTTGGAGGAGGAAACTCGAGCTTGAGAGGGGAGTCTTTTGGAACTAACTTCCAACAGAGGCAGATAAATGTAGATTTCCCAAGGCTTGACGGCACTGATCCCCATCGTCAGATTTTCCAGGCAGAACAGTATTTTACTTTTTATGAGCTGTTGACCCCACAACAAGTCATCGTTGCTTCCGTGCATATGGATGGGATAGCTGTATCATGGTTTCAAATGTTGCCATGTTCAAATCGCATTACT